ACGATCACATGAAATGAGCGCGTGTGATCTCATTTTCACTTGATTCACTAAAGTTAATCCTGTCATCTTAATCATATGATGTGATCCGTTTGATTTATTGTTATATTTTATCATACACGTACTAGTGCAGTGACTCACTTGAAAATCCATATTGGTCTTGTGTATAGTTACATGAAGCTAATCAACGTAATTATAATTTTATCAATAAATTTTTCTTCGTGAATGTGAGATGAAATTGTCGATACGAACTAAGCTGCTTACTGGTTGCGTTGGAAGAGTGTAAAATAGAATTAACAGGACTTGATTAACGGAATACACCTTTGGTAGCCTTTAAATTGTGGACAACCTGAAGCATTACTAACTGTTATGGATATATCATAACAACTCAAAACTCAATGCACATTGAAAACATAAGCTGTAAAACTATCTTTATAATCATATTGTAAAATAATATTTGAATGTTTCAAACACCAAGCCACTAGAGAATTCTGCTTTTAACAGCTACAACTTATAGATTAGTAGATTATTTAGTGCCCAAGACTCACATATATGAATACGATATTGTGAAACATTTGTGTCGGACTTTTCGTTTTGCGTAACATGGAAACTGGTGTCGAGTTCAGAGAGAAAAATAGTCTGTATGATATAAATCCATTTTACAGTAAGACCAGTTGCACATTTCTCTATTATATATTTGTCTGTGGGAAATTTGAGTTTCGAAATGATGAAAAACTATGCGAAACCTGCTAACACTTAAAGTCAGGTCAATCACCTCTTTCTCAACTGAACTCTAATAGCGTCCAGAATTTGTGATAGTCTGAAATGTATGTTGTACGAATGACTAGTCGAAATGTGTGAAACAACTGTCCATGTAACACGATTTTCGATGTCGATATGTGGGGATTTTAATAACGAATATAAACTCATGTGTTAATGTATATTCGCAAATGCTTTCTTAATGAACACCTACCACACTTCAGGGAAAACAAATGACTCATATTACATCAAGGCGAATTTAATTTGCGCTGCTTCAAAAATACAAAATTTGTGCTCAACGAAAACACATTTGTTATTGACTGTCTAACTAATGCTGAAGTTTTTTGAAACTATGAAGTCCAATCTTGATGTGGATACCTTAATATAACCCATATTCACCAGCACATCGTGTTTCACATACGTGCATCTAATGACTCTGTAACATCTTCGTCTGGTATTCTTGGCGTCGATGTCAAACCAAGCCGTTGAACTTAGGCAGCACTGGTCAACTGGATTTCCACTAGCAGTCAGTTACGTGCTGATTCACTAGAACGCTTAAATAAAAAAGTTTAAGGTAATGTCTTTTCGCCATAGTCATCTACGCTACGACAGATTGCAGCCTGGATGCGATGAAAGATGCAATTACCAACAGTACCCTGATATTCTGTAAAACGTGCGAACGACAGACATTGTAGTACTGACCGGAGAAGTGAGTGTTCACGTCGTATGTATATGCACAGAAGAGAGTCGTTCTGGTGTCCAGTGAGGACTTGTTGGTCGCAAGTCAGATACCAGTGACCATCTTATGCAGATGTGTGCAGACTAAAACTGATTAAGGCCTGCACTGACTACTGACACAGTCGTCATCGATAATCTACCAAGCGCCCTTCCTCTGCATCTCGAACCAGGACACAGGTTGATCACAATGCGATCAGCACAGTTGGCATGGTTGAGTTTGAGAACGCTGCTCGTTTAAGAGCAACCTTTTTCGACTCTGATCACGTCATTGTTTGCGTTGGTTTTATCTTTCGTTTCATTGGCCAACAAATGAGTTGTCCCGAAAGGATCGATGTCATTAAATTGATGCACCTTCTGTTGCAACCAAATATCAAACAGGACTAAAGTCAAGACCAGCCACCAGTCCACTTAAAATCATAGATGAGCATTGGTCGCAGTTGCATGGCACCACGAAAATTTTCTTTACGGCCTCGTGAAAAGTATGGTTTATGAGTAATGGGTTCCTCTAGGTTCCTAACAAATCACTTAAGCGCATCGAGTGACCATCAGGGAAACAATCTGTGAAGATGGTGTGATGACAACCACAAAATCTGCAGATATATCGGACGATGAGCAGACACTTTCGAGGAGAGGTTCTACTGGTCCGATGCTCTGATGTCATCATAAACGTCATTTCGCTTCGCTCTTTTCTTCTTTGTTCACTTCGCTCCACTTTTCCGACTGTCAGTTCCAATCACCGATTGTGTGAAATGTATACATTCAAAAATCCACTCCCGTATTTGACTTTCCAATTTCGTTCTTCATCAACGCCAGTCAAGTCGACGATTCTATACGGGAACAGTCAGGATATATATTTCGACACCACTTTTTGATAACCATTATTCGTTTGACTTAGGTAGAATCATATATTAGGTCACTTAATCTGCATCAGTTTATCAACGGAAGACAACGAACGGAAATAAGAACTGTTCAAGTCAATTACAATATCTATCATCAATAAACAGGTGTACAATTAACCTAGAATAAATGTGAAGACCAACAGTCGAAATTTTAAGAGCATACTACTGAAACTACAAACGAATTGTATTTCGTTAACTCACGTAAATGCGCTTGGTTTTCGTCATCCTTTTTCGAAATAAAAAGATCTAGAATCCGTATCCGTGATATTGTAGTAAGTTTATTTCAGTTTCAACTATGTTTCCGGTATCAAGTATTTCCATACATGTTGAAGTTCACATAGTGAGTGAATACCGCACGAAGATAAATTTCACAGAGGATTACATTCGAGGCTTCAACTTTCCATTGATTCTCTTTTCCAACCTGCTGAGTGAGATGTTATGCGGTGTTGCGTATTATAGAAGACGCAGGCGAATAGCTGTCGATGACTGAAATAATGTTGCTTGAAAATTCGAGCTCTTATATATAGCACTCGTACTGTAAACGAACGCAATAATGTTCGAACATACTGGATATTATACACTTATGAATATTAAGAAGGTGGTTGGTCAATTTCAAATGTACTTCCGTTAACCTATGAAACTCAATCTATTCATGGTTTCAGTAGTATCCTCTTGAAATTTTAACTGTTGATTATACATTGATATGGATTGCATGAACATTCGTTAGGTTACATAGCCGATTAGTAGTCGATGATTTAAATAATGAAGAATTTACAATATCCATAAAATAGAACACTAAACTCTATAACTAAATAATATAGTGTAATATATCAAAATCAGTTGTCCTATTTTCAAGTAATAGAACTCACTAAAGAACACTTAATATCAAACGATGATGTCCTCAGACATAAAGTTTACAAGTGGTTTCGCAATAGGTTATTCGATTGACTGATATTTTCTCCAATTTCATATTATTGAATCCATGACTACCCTACAGCAATGTAGATTTAAATGCTTAATATCTTGTGGAGTTAATGACAAATGTTCAGTTGATCTTGTCTTGTAAAGCAAGATACATTGACCGAAGATGCGGGAACATGCCACAGTGTGGTTTTGCAAGAGTGGGAAGTAAGCAGTTAAAATGCCAACATTGGAAAATCTAATCGATTGTAACCATTCTACTGATTCTCTGTTTGATTTAAAAGTTGTTAATACGGTTCATCTATATCTACCCAGATTTCTTCGTGTCCAACTGCTGGTCGTAGATGGAGCTCCTGCTACCCATGACCTCAAGCCAGAACGATGCGTACGAAAATGAGTGTGTCCCATCCTTATCGTTATGCTAAATTTAATCTATTAAAACTATTACTGCTGAATTTCCCTTTACTTATGTCTCATACTGCCATTCATTTTGCACAATTGGTTTCTTCATTTACTGTAACAAAATAGTGTTTATCGTCCTATCAAATTCACGTTGTGATTTGTTACTAACTTATTAGGTCTAATGTTATTATTGAAATTTCGATATGTATGCAAACCAGGTGACATATGGAGGAAATGTGAAAAGTTAAGATGAATAAATGCACACTACTGTCTCAATTATGAGCTAAGCCTATTAAAATCTACATCTATTGATCACCAATGTCAATCGGATAATTTCAATCTAACTATTAGATACTCTATTGATCTCTATCACAAATGATCAGTAGCTGTTCATGAAGTGTATTCATACTAAATTATATTTTGTAAACTCCACTTATGAATTCAGGATGGTAAATGTTGAAGAGAAACTTAATTTGATCAAGTCACTTATGATTATTATTTATCACTAACACCACTTTTGCCTTACATTATTGTCAAGATTATTACGTTTGATTAAATCATGTTTTATTTTCACTATGCTCTCAACCTCCTATCACTGCCTCCCTCACACTAATTGTCTCTGGTTATTCCTTGTTGTTTCCCGTGCTTGTCTAATACTGAAAATCATTGTAATGATTTCCAGGTCAACCGATCGTTAGTCAGTGAATTTACTTGAGGAATAGAACACAACGACGTCAGTGATTTCGTTAGAGAAAATCATCCATTCACAGTTTTTATGATGACAGAATACAATAATCAGTATTATATATAAGTGTGAAATACTGTATAAGTGTATCTTTATTTACATGCGTGTGTTAATCACCTTTCAACATTCATATGGTGGCTTGATGTTAAATTATTAAGTCTATTGTTTCTATTCATATTACGTGATCTAGTATGATAACCTCACTATTTTATTATTTCAATTACTCCTCACGAAACCAATACATTTAGCGAAATGTTCTTCATATCTATATACAAGTATACAGCTTGATAATCAGTCCTTTCAAAAGATACCTCTTTGCTGAAAGTCGTGTTTTTAAACATCACCGATTGGTTTAGTGCTTGAAAGTGGACGTTGTTCGATGTGTTTACAACGACTGGTATTTACTTCGAGGTAAGCAAGAAATATTCTCAACTACGTGAACGCATTTCTATTCAGCCATTTGAGTTACATCACAGTTTACCTCCAATGACGTTCGTGTGAACTATAAGAAACCCTTGAAAACCTTCAATACCCATTAGTGAATATGTGATATTTATTGACAAAATCATTTAATATAAATGAAAATTTTCATAGTATCAATAAGTGCTACAGATCAAGTAGTCGAAATTCTATATAAGCTCGGTTTATTCAAACTGACTTTTGGGCCTATTTATATATTGAAATAGTGAATATTTCGATGGAACCTACACCAAAGTGCTCTTTAATCTCATTTCTACTTGTATGTGCTTGTATTTCGAAATGAGATACTTGGTTTAAGTTTGAAGGGACTGGAACAGAAGTCTGTCTTCAATGAAAGCCCTGTGTAGATCTGTTAAGTGGTAGTTCTATGCGTTGTCGTCCTCCAGATGTCTATAAAGATTTCATAGAAAACACATTGAATGACTCTACATAACTGAATTTCACAACACCTTGAAATTTGACTCATATGATACACAATTTTGTATATCCTCACAGTTTCCATAGAAGATCAGTTTGAAATTGGAATCTAGACCTTGTCTATGTAGATCAATTACTACACCGTCATATGCTGGCAAAACCGGATCAGAAATTATCTTGTGGACGCCAGCAAAACTCGATCCATTTAGTCCAGAGTTGAGTGGATAGAAGAAAATGGCTGATTGGTTGTTCTAAACATGGTGTCAGTTGAATTGCATGTATAAATTATATTTACCTGTCCGTTAAATCGTAAGAGTGTGGCTTTAGATTTTTGGTCTGTATCTGAATATTCTATCCATTCTTCAAATACCGTTTCGTTTTTAGTATCAGTGAAATCAATAAAGGTTTTGTTGAATAACCCACTTCGATTTAAGTAGGTTTTGTATGATGATTTTCCCTCCATACCGTTGTGAGTATTCAGCAGTAGAGTTGTGAATATTAAAACAACAACGGAAGTATTTTTGATCATCATTCGGAGGTGATTCAGCTTCAAATTAATTTGAAATATTTGTCTGTAGGGTAAAAGAGAATTTTAATAAACGTTCAGTTGAGGGGCTGTCATGCGTATAAATTGAGACATTCACAGAACATCGTGGATGGTTTGATGTTATAAACTGACAACGTGGGGTACGGAAACGGTGGTCTATACACAAAGCAGACTCTCACAACCATAACATGTGTTTGGATTGATCAGTCATCAAAATAACAACATATCATCTGAGATATGTTAGTCAAGATAATATATTAGAAAATGGTTGGTTATTTGACTTTTCTCTATTTTAAATCTAAAAGCTAAAGTCGGTCTAGTTGCTCCATCTGTATATGGTAGCACAGAATATAATTAAGATTTACGGAACTTTTTCATCGTATGTTAACTTTCCACTATTCCATAAACCTCTGAGAGAATCAACATACATAGCTCATGTGTTATTTAACTATTTTGTTGACCATTTTCACTTGGTCGAATATTTAAATTTCTGTTTCATACGGTGAATACTGATTCCATTTTGCGTAATACATCGAGTGAATTGCTGAAATGAAGTTTGATAATGCATCGTAATGTATATTGAACAACGGTTACTACTCTCAGACTATTCGTTAGATATATGTAGAGATTGTTCAACTCATAATGTTTCATCAAAGACAGGGTTCAGGTAACAAATGTGAGAGATTCATGATCAGTAGACTCGACTTGTTGTCCCAGTATGAACTTCCACATCAGTAGTCAATCGTGACTACTTCAAGAATCATGTTATGTCTTTAAAGTTAAGATAACCAGTTTGGCCTCTCACAGTACAAAATACTAACTTCCGTCGTTTCTCAACATTGCACTACACTCATCGACCCTTACTGATGAACTCCACTAGATAATGGTGAAATTTTTTTGACAAAAGTGATACAAATTGTCGACCACAATGTTTTGCTATATATAACTGTTTCTATTATTGAAAAATAGTACATCAGTGTTAGTTCATATTTTACAGGTAAATTTTGAAATGCTACTGAAACATCGATTGAATACTGAATCTCTGAATAACTTACGTTCAGACTAGAATATCTCGTCTCTTGAACCGATCATATAACCATCTGCTTTTATACTTTTATTTTACAATGAGATTGTGAGTTTCATCCAATCAAGTTATCATAAGTGCGATCAAATCCATATTGGCTGTTTTTGAGACTAATACAAAGATCAGATGATTAGATACAGTGAACGTGACCTAAATAAAATAATACAAATCTCATTTGAACAAAGCAAATATGAGGTTACTAGTTACATGCACATAAATTTTATTATCTTGTGATGCAATTAAATTTATTTTGAGTACAGCAAATGTTACTTTCTAATAACATACATTACACAGTGGTCTGAATGAAATACTCACTCGAAACTTGGACGCATTGGTTGGCTGTTTTGTTTGGTGATACGACTGCTCAGAGGTTGGCATTGAACACCTCACCGATGGATAAATTTTAAAATGTCAGATTTTGTGGAAGGTTTCTAACCTCTGAAATTCTGAACCGACATTCGACTGTTTTCATGGGTACCTCCAGTCAGTTTATCATAAAAAAAGAATCAATAATAAATTTTTTAAATGACGAGGATCTGTACGACGTAGTTTGTACAGACTGGTGTGTCTGTTTCGTCGAAATGCTGGTGGAACTTACCATGAGCTTCTCCAACATGAACTAGTAGTTTCGTTCACAAAATTTGTTCAAGACACCCTTCCTCAGTGGATCATAGAAGCAGCTACTTTAACTAACGTAATTAGTTATGAGGCATTATTACTAAAGTTTGGCTTGATAGATTCAAAAAAATTGAGCATTGGGTGGAGAGTGAATACTGAATATAATGTAATGAATATAAATACAGTGGTAATCACCACAGGTCTGGACTCACGGTTATACAGTCTCCTCGGATGTATTTCACGATTTCAGCAACTTAGTAACAGCATTGTACGTTCGGTTTCATAAAGAACGTCCCCATCTCGAGAAGGCAAGAAGTAAGAGTTCTTTGATACTGGCTGCCCACACGTGGACAAGAGAGCGCATTTCGAGAGAAAGCGCTCAATATTCCCACTCTCGTCTGTACTAGAACATTTGTGTACAATGAGTTTATGAGTATCCACAAACCTACAACCCAAGATTATCTACAACAAGAACAGCAAAAACGCTGAATTAAAATTGTGTGGTTAAATTCCTCGTCACTGAACAACATGAATTCCAATGTAACACAAAAAAGTGAAATACAAGTGAAGAAATGTCAATAAAAACAGTTTTTTCTGAATGTTAAAAATATCATTATTTAGTTTAGGCTGTAGCAAGTCCAACTAACTTCTCACACACAACATGATCTTCGCCAACGGCGCATTGCAATACACATGAATTGTTTCATCAAATATTTTAACCAATCAATAACGTACAAGTGAGCAGATGATATCTTCTCCGTTAACATGAAATGTCATTCAGAAGAATAGGTTGATGGATAGTCGAAGAAATTACACTGACTCAGAATATGCTTTACCAAGTACTTCAAAAATAATGTCAAACTGCTTACGTACTTGTTTGCGACGAACGATGTTAAAGTTTGCCTTCATATATTTGGTTGTGCAACGATGATGTGTTTTGAATAAGAGTATGTGTTATACACCTCAAATACATTCAGAGTTTGACAATGCAAGGGAACATTTCTGATTGAAGAGTACCAATTTTGTCAAATCGAAAGAGTTCACTAATGAATGTGCTCAAATATGTATATGGAAGGAGGAGGGAAAAGTTCACGGTGGGGCGAAGATTCAACAAACACACATTTGAGAATATACAACAAAAAATACTACATCAATCTTCACCTAACTAATCACGTGTTTACATGAAACTATGACCTGATGAAAGGATTATTTATCTCATGAGACGGTCTATTGGTTAACCTATACTTTCAGGAATTCCATTACAATTTAATGTAAAGGTCAAAAATCTGAGATATAGCTGCCACGTTTTCAGTTTGCAATCAATGCATATTACCGAGATTCAGCTGTCCAGCATTCAATCTCAATTGTCTAACACTGACTGTCATCTAAAAGCCAGGTGACACATATCGACACTACAAATGATTGTACTTGAACAGTTGTTACGTACATTTTAAGCACGCATGCATTCCATACTATGACTAATATCAAACACGATTAGAGCTCAGTTGAAGGAAAATAGATTGAACTGACTCTAACTGTTAGGAGGCTTTGTATATTTTATCTCCTCTTTCAAATGCAAATTTGCTACAAACAAATATGAACTACAGATCTGTGCACAGGATCTTACTGTAAAATCGCTTTTCGCCTTACTGTAACCTGTTTCGCTCTCTATACTGGACACTAGTCCCATCTGCCACAGAAGTACTAGCTCTCACTCGGCTGTTATCACACGTCCAAATCACGCCAGTTAGTCTTTAGTATTGAATAGCTGACCTATTTTTAGAGTGAAGATGCTGCATTCTAAATTCTAACTTGCTACCTAGTCGATAGTGTGTGGGTGTCCGAAACATTCTAACGATTCCTGAGAATATGATTATAAAGCTATTCTCGCAGCTTTCGTCTTCAAAATGAATTGGGTTTTGAGTTATTCTGACTAATCTATAACAGTTAGTAATCTTCTTGGTAATTCAAAATTTGAAATAATATTGAAGATAATCAGCTCATAAAAAACTAGTTTTTACTTGTTCAGCACAAACAGTAAGCTCTCCAGTTCATCTCGACAAATGTATGTCACAATTTTCAGAAAAATTCTATTCCGATTAATATAATTATGCAGATTTTCGTCGTGTAACTATTATGAACGGGGAATTAAGAAGCCCAGACAATTACGAAAGCTATTTTCTTGGGACGTTATTGCATTTCATTCAAAACCCGTAAAACACTTATATTTATTTTTGTCCCTATCTTATTCTACATAACACGAGCTTTCGTTCTATGTATCATTCACTAGCATACCCCTTTTTGTTCCAAAAATATTGTAATTTAAACATAATATTTTGCACTATATTTTCTACCCTAATTCCCTGTTTCGGGCATAACTGTATTTTTCCAAATTATCGTACGTCGTGGTCAAGATATTCACTTATTTATTCATGTACATTTTTGTAGTAATCCGAATTCAGAGAATCCAGAGTTTAGTGTTCCAACTGTCTTGTCTTCTTTCACTCGCGTGCTTGCCAACCAATCAGGATTTAGAATAGTTCTCTCTACCCCAATCGAACTCACGCGTATTAGACTCAAGGTTAAGCCACTCAGCCTAGCGCGTCAAGGTCAAGGTCAAGTCATAACAAGTATCACGGGGTAAAAGCCATCCAAGGTCATAACAACTGGCGACGGAGAATTTTTTCTTTCCTATTGATTGATCCAGTACAAAATGCCTGTTTCATTGGATGACCTTAAAACTATTCTTCAAATGCAGCAAGCACAAAATGATGCAAATCAGACGAAGCTTTTGGATGCATCGGCACGAATGTTCTCATTACAGTCGTCTTCAGCTTGTCAATCAGATAAGCATGAAAGCATCATAAATTCTAGTTCTGAATTCCAGTATGATCCTGAAGCTAATGTCATTTTCAGTTCGTGGTTTCACCGTTGTGAAGATATTTTCCGCGTTGAATGCTCGCATCTTGATGACGCAGCGAAAGTCCGCTTAGTCTTAAGAAGACTGGGAACACAGGAATATAATAAATATGTGAATTTTGTCTTACCGCAAAATCCAAGAGATGTATCATTCAAAGATACAGTTCAGATTTTATCTGATATTTTCGATGAACAGTCCGCATTATTTAATACTCGCTATAAATGTTTCCAAATAACAAAATCTCCAGAGGACGATTATCTCACGTATGCCGGGAAGGTAAATCGACAGTGCGAACGCTTCAAAATAAACAAAATCACAGCGGACCAGTTTAAATGCTTGATTTTCATATGTGGTCTAAAGAATGAAGAAGATGCAGATGTCCGTACCAGAATTTTGGCACGCATTGAACAAGAACCAAATATGACATTACAAATGGTTACAACCGAATGTCAGAGGTTACTTAATCTCAAGCATGACACTGCGATGGTGCAACAGAAGGGTAAACCTTCCGGTTCTGATTCAATTAATGCGCTCCGATCCATAAAATCATCGAAACAAAACTGTACAAGCAGGAAACAACCTGCCAACCCCCCATCACCATGCTGGTTCTGCGGAGCATGGCATTTTGCAAAATTCTGTCCGTTTAAGAATCATAAATGCCGCAAATGCCATCGCATTGGCCACAAAGAAGGTCATTGTTCGTTAAATAAACGCAAGACTAAACATCGTAGTGAGAATTCAAAGCAACGATCAAACAGTCAGATTAAAACCACGTTCGCAACCTTTAAAGTTGGATTTAAAAATAGGCGGAAATTTGTAAATTTATTAGTAAATGAAAAACTTATACGACTTCAGTTGGACACTGCTTCTGATGTCACGTTGATTTCAAAGAACACATGGCACAAGTTAGGATGCCCATCCATCCGACCGACGGAACATGTCGCCCGAAATGCGTCAGGAGACATAGTAAAGTTGACAGGAGAGGTTCTATGCAATGTTCAACTTATGGGAAGTAAATTTACAGATGTTTTTTATCCAACAAATCGACACGATTTAGATCTATTGGGATTAGATTGGATTGCACATGGTTATATTTTGAATAAATTATTAGATGAGGTATGTTCTCAAAATGTTTCCTATGAGTCTATCCAAATCCCTAATCATATTTCTAAATCAAATGCCTCCGACGAATCATCCTCTCTAGATATTAACGAATTAAATGCTTCTGATGAAACATGTTCTTATGATCTTTCTGAATCAAACAATTCAAATGATATGTGTTCTCACCATGTCAAATCTAATACCGCCGATTTATTGCCTTCTCATAAAATTTCCAAATCGAATACTTCAGACAAAGTATGCGCTAGTGAAACTTCGGAATCTCATGTACTTCTTTCTAATGTTATGTCTACATCAAAGTCTTCTGTTTCCTCTCAATTGTCGTCCGTATCTTACATAAATCATCTTCGACAAAAACATGCATGTGTATTTCAAAACAAACTGGGCTGTT